ATATTTATCTTAGAAAGCTATCATAGACAGAGTAAGTGTCATAACTCATCTGTAAGACGATGTGTACCAGACGAAGTGCATCATCTGGGCTAATGCCACATTTATTTCTCGTTAGAATAATAGAGTAATCTTTAAGGAGCATTAACTCTTTATTCCTTAACAGATCGAACAAGAAGAGTTTCCTCGAAGATAAAACAAACTTTTCAAAAAGGAAATGTCAATGGTAATCTTTAGGATCAGCAAATAAGACAAACAAAGAAAGTTGTGGAGAAATCTGAACGTTTAAATCCAATGTTTCTACAATGGTCATCTTCTCTTAAGCTACTACATAAAGGTCAAGCCTTCAAACATGAATAAAAGACAGTGGTGTACAAAAAAAAGCATTTATAAAGAAAAGAGAAAAATGTTGTAAATAGAAAAAAAAATCATCACTGAGAAATAAACAAAAACTTCTTGACCCAAAAGTACTACAAAGAAGATCTTTATTGTAAATTTCATTTATAGTTCTTTGTAATCTATTTGTGCTATATTTTTCATAGCATTGCGTCTAGAAGAGACGAAGCTATCCTTGTAATTTTTGTCACATTTATTTGTAAGGGTTGAGCCTAGAGAGGTTTGTGTAAAAGGAATATTTAGTGTTGAGCCTAGAGAGGCTTGTTGAAAGAATACTTGGGTTTGAGCCTAGAAAGGCTTGTTGAAAGAATACTTGATGTTGAGCTAGAAGTGGCTAGTGAAAGAATACTTGTATCTTGTACAAGATAATGGATCTCAATCTAGTTGGATTGAAAACTAAACGTAGTCTCTATATTTGAGATGAACCAGTATAAAACACTTATGTCACTTCATCTTTTGATTTCTAGTGTTTTGTCTGTCACAGTTTTTACTACTTCAATGAAAAAGTACGAGTTTTTGATATGTACTATTCAACCCCCCCTTCTAGTGTGTATCTTTTTCTCCAACAATAGGCTTATTTTTGTCTTTGTATTTATAAGGCACATTTATCTTTCTTTGTAGATCATACCCTTAGGATTTGAGGGTATGTTACTTCAAGACTTTTACTCCATTTGACCTTGTACTAAGGGTCATAACTTCATATTTTTAGTATTAGTAGTGGGGTAGAAAATAGCAAGTGTGTAGGTGAAGCTAGCAATTGGGCCTTTAGTGGGCCTAGGCCAAATTTTACATATTAAGCTTGTTTTTCTTCCTTTAATCCAATAAATTGATTTAGCTAGGTCTCACCATCATTTGGTGAACCTAACTAAACCAATTCCAAGATTTTTGGATTGGATTAGATGAAGGAAAGCAAGCATGGTCACCTAGCTCTTCCTTTGGTCGAGTCACTTGGTAGCTTCTCAAACACACTTGCCTCTTGGCTTACAAAGGGGACAAGGTGACACTTGGTATCCTATGTGATTGCCTCTTATAGATCTAAGTGTCCCATCCTTTTCTCCTAAGAGACAAAGTGACACTTGGCACTCTATTATTGGTTAATCTAGATCTAACTATACCTACCTTGTCTCTATCGTGTGTAACTTTCACTACAAGCTTCTCCACCACTATATATAGATTGTTTCTCTTGTAAAACTCACTTTTGGATGATATATGAGATTTGGCCGAGTATTCTACTCAGATTTCTCTCTCTTAAAAGTCTTAAATTTTCTCTTCGATTTTCTTCCAATTCTTTTATCCTCTTCCTAAAAGTATGATGAGAGTTGACGTGGTTTATCTTCTACCTTGAAGTGGCACAGCTTGAAGAGAGTTCTGCACCTTCTATGGTGAAACCAGAGGTCTCTTCCTCCATTAGAGACCTTGATGAAGCTTGAGGAGTATTAAGAAGCAAAAGATCTAAGGAGGAACTTGAAGCCATATCAATCTGGTTGTTGCATAACTTCCACCTTCTTAAACATGTCTAGTAGCTTAATATCTGGCTTAAATCTTTTCTTTGTTACTACTACTTTATTTAGGAAAAGAAGAGGAATATGATTTTTCATACTATTGCATCATTTTTTCTCTACCACACTGACAGTTGAAGAATCAGACTCAGGTACTGCCACTACAAGCAAAATGCAAATTACCGACAGATAATTTCTGACAGATACAAATTCGTCAAAAAATTTATATTTTCGACGAAAAAAAATTCGTAGGAAAATTTATATTATCGACGGATAATTTCTGATGGATACAAATCTTTCAGAAAATTTATATTTTTGACAGATATATCCGTCGATAATTTCTTATAGATACAAATTTGTTGGAAAATTTATATTTCTGACGGATGATTTCCAATGGATACAAATCTGTCAGAAAATTTATATTTCTGATGGAAAAAGAATTTGTAGGAAAAGTTATATCATTGAAGGAAGATTTTTGATAAATTTATATTTTTCGAAAATGTAAGAATTGTTGACAAAATTGATGGAGTAGACAAGTGAAGTGAAAGAACTTGGTTCCTTTTCCTTCTCCAAGCTCACAGATCTTCTTCCTTGATGAAGAATTCTGGACTTGGATGCAGTTTAGAGGACCAAGAAGAGTGAATTCCTAAGCCAAGATAGAAGTATCCAAGCTAGAAACTCAAAAGAGTGCCCACAAACAAGACTTAGAAATTAGGATTCCTAAGGCTAAGATTATGGACTCTTTGGGGTGACTTTGAGAGAGACTTGGATGAAGTGAATTTTCAGAAATCTCATTAATGTTCAAAGTGCTGAAATGTGAAGAGAAAAATTGGGGCCAAAAATTTGAATTTCAAATGGGATTTGAAATTCAAATTTCTTGGCAGCCCCATGTGCACGTCCAAGAGCTGATTCCATGTGCATTAAGGTTGCATTTAGAGTTAATTTGATGTTGATTTGGGTGGTCCATGTGCAGCACCATGTGGGTTAGTCCATGTGCACCAAATACAACTCAAATTACTCCTAAATGTGACCTTAATTTTAGCTACCTTTGCCTAATTAAACTTTCCCTTTATATTCCTATTCTAGTGGCCTAAATACAATGGCCAACCTATCACAAACATTAAGAAATAATAAAAGAAACAAAATGAGCCCAATATTGGGTACCAAAAGCCCAAAGACCCATAAAGCCAAAAACAGGCCCAATGAGCCTATGGCCCAAAAATGCTAATCTATGTGGTCCAAAATATAAGACCAAAATATATGAAATCTATACTAATATAATATATACAACATAGAATAAAATGAATGTCTCAAGGTATGGCCCATGTGAGAAGTAACTTGGGCCTTCCAAGCCCACCGGGCCCATTGGGCTCTAACTAGCCCAAATCTTCATATCTAGCCCATTCCTCTTTGATCCTTTAAGATATCACCTTTTGCCCTCCTAAGTATGACTCCATCAAAAATTGACAATCATATATTAAAAAAGATCAATAAAATTATATATATATATATATATATATATATGTGTGTGTGTGTGTAATTTACTAGTCTTTTTTAGATAACAATTTATTAGAATATATAT